TATATACATTGCTCCTAGGGTTTCTTGAGATGAGCTGGAGGTTTGAGGTTGTAATTTGGTCTTTCATTTTGTCATTTTCCTATATTTCTGTGTTTCAAGTGTTATTTGAAAGCTTCCTCAGGGTCTGTTGGAAATTCCCTTATATGTTTGCAGCTCCTGAGACTCTGGCACCACATTTCCCCAAGCCACTGGGCCTGCAGAACCAGTGGGCCTCCTCTGCCTGTTCAGAACTCTGCAGTTCCAGATAAGCTGGGCCTCAGGGACACTGTGCACCCACCTGCCCGTTGGAAGCTCCACAGCTCTCCAAGCACCACAGGCAGTGGTGCCTCTGGAACCTGTGATCCTCCCCTGCTTGCTGAGATATCCACAGTCCTCCAGACACATGGGGAGGCTGATGCACGTGCCCCAGATCCACCCAGCGCCTCCTCTGCACACCAATCATGAGGTGCGGGAGTCCCAAACAGGCTGGGCTCCAGGGATAGCGTGGGACAGCCCACACTTTGGAAGACCCACAGTTCTCCAAGTGCAGCTGGGATCAGGATCACAAGTTTAAACCCAACCTGTGGAACTGAGTGAATTATTTAGACCCTTTCTATTCCTGTGTGCAATGTGTTCAGCTCCCTCCCAGCCTTTCATAGATTTTACCTCTAATTCTGTACACTGTGTACACATGACTCCAGCCCACAAATTTAAAAGTGTTACCTTTCACCTCTGCTGATGTCCCTTGGAAGCAGATGCCAATATGAACTTTATAGCTCAGGGGGACACACAGGAATGGACCTGAGAGGCATGGTGTCTTTTCCAAGTTGACAAGGGAAGGAGGAAGGAGGAGTTGGGTCTAAAACTAGGTCTTCTCAGACCGGGGACCCTGGCTTCATTGCAGTATTTCCTTTCCCGGGGGAAAGCTTTTCCTCCTGCCAAGATCCATCGCTTGGGTGGAGCAGTTGTCTTCACTCTGAAGGACACTGGGCAGTCATTCCATGTGCTTCCATGGTATCCAGAGCAAGAATCTCTGGGGGATGCCAGATGACCCAGTTCCACACAGACATCATGGAGGGAGCTGGTGGGTGCCTTAAATGATCAGTGTACCAGGCATTAAACATGATGCAATGACAGAGCAGATGCAAACACTGGTCTCTTGTGCTTCCATGTTATGAAGGCCACACAGTCACCCTGGAGAGCAGACCATCTACCACCTACATTACAGTGAGTGTCCCTAAGTCTTGGCCTCTGTACACCTGGACATAAAATAGAAGGCACACAGAATGGGGTGATACATTAGGATATGAACAGAAGGTGGAGGAAAGGCAGGCAGGATGCACTCCCACTGTCCACTCACTTCTCAGATAGTTATAGAGCAGCACCCTGTGGAGCACCCATGATTAGAGTAACACGGCAGACTCCACTTGCTTTCTCACAGAGGCAACATGCCACAAGGGTGGAAAAGGTAGATGCATTTCAGGCTTCCTGCAAAGTGGAGGACAGGTGGTAACAGCACTGTCCAGGGACCTCTGACAGCAAGTGAGGACTGATTATGGTTAGCACACAGGATACACTGGGAGGGCCATTTGGGAGAGAGGCCGGACCTGTAGTGCTGCTTACACCTGTCCTCCTCAGGATCAGAGTTTCTCTTCTTGGCTCCCAGCAGGTGCTGCTAAGCAAGGTGGTACAATCAGCCCAATCTAATTTGATTGAGTTGGGCCAAGCCTAGCTTGCTGAAAATGAGAACTACAGTGCGAAGGAATTGGTATGGGTCTGTTGGTTTCTGAGGAGGACACGGGGCACTTTAGAGGGAGAAAGACTCTCAGACTTGGGGCCTCCTGCAACACAGAGGCATGAGAAGTGAGTGGGGTGAGGGAGAATGGGAAGTTTTCCTGGGGTGCATTTGTGCACAGAGCTGTCCCTCACAGGCCCTGGGAGGTTTTGTGGCCTGCAAGGAGCAAGGACAGTTGGTGATTTTTCTAAAGCAGGGCTAGTACTGGACTGAGCTCAAGGTCTACTTACAAATTTTGTGCCAACTCCACCTCCAATGACCTCACCAGCTCTGGGATCAACCTGAAAATAAAGGTCAGATACCTGGTCTGGTGGAATTCCAAGGCAGGTCTGTCGCTGGCACCATGGCAGGTGTCCTGAGCTCCACTTAGGGCTCAAGTCCTGCAAAGCACCTTTCCTTCACTTCCCCTTCCCTTTACTTCTTCTATTTTTCTCAGTTTTACTTTCTACTCTTAAGTCTACAGTTCTTTGAAACATTAAATTCTAAGATAATTTTAAGTTAAGATTTCATTAGTTTCCACATGTTCAGTTGAGTCACAGGTAAGCACATCGTCAGTTGGTACAATCTTCACATCTGTGGAGTGCCAGCTTTCTGCTCAGTGTTTGACCCATCCATACCCCTGTTCTCTCCTGCTAGTCCCCACCCAGTGCTGACCTTTCCCTCACTGTGATTTACTACCCTGGGTCTTTCTTTTTCTTTTTTTTTTTATTTTTTATTTTGAAACTATACAACAGAACAAGTCAGAATAAAGCCAACTAAGATTGTACAGTGAAATTGGTACAGAACTTCACAGCAGGTTACCGGAACAACAGTAATAGGTATCACAGTATATTTTGTTATCTTTATAATAGTTGTTCTTTCAATCCCGTATATCAAAATGAAATGAAATATAGAACACTATAGAACTTATCAAAACAGAATATTGAATAGAGCAGTACCATTAATCAGAAAGGAGCAAAACAGTAATAAAAATATTTGCCTTCAAAGAAATGGTGGAAGGAAGTGCCCCTTATTTGCTATGGTCTACCTCCCAGGAGATGCTCAGATTTCTGGTTCCCACTTGCTAATGGGTGGGGAGGAGGAGGGGAAGGAGGATAGGGGAAGTGGGATATTTGACTCTAGGCCATGTAGCAGTAGGTTCAGTATTGCTAAGCAGGGAGGCAGAAAGGTCATTTGTTTCCACAGCGTTCTAAGTTCCAACATGGCATGGATCTCAGGAGACACTGCTAGGTCTCTCTCTGGAAGGGCTTCAATGGGCCATACTACCACCACTTACCCGGGAAGGGAGGTGCTGGCTTAGCTTCCAAGAGTCCTAAGTTCCAGCATGGCTTGGATCTCAGGAGACACTGCTAGTTCTCCCCCTAGAAGGGCTGCAGTGGGGGACACTACCGCCGCTTACCAGGGAGTACCCGGGGTCTTTCATATCAGTGCATCAGATTCTGCTTGGTCAAACATTCCTGGAGGAGACTGGCTGCTACTGCTCTTTGAAAGAAAAGAAAATCCTAGAGAAAAAAGTCTACAGGGAATATGTAGAGACCATTGTGTATGTACTCATCTTTTCATTTCTGAAAATGTTTTCCATGATTTCAGTGATACAAAGAGAGTTACAAAGGGATGATTCATTGTATTTGAAAAACAACAATAATGCAAAAACCAAAACAGGAAACCTTTATTTACAACCAATAGTCAGATAGATGGTTTTTATTACAAGTGTGAAAAAGGTTTCATGAGTCCATTTTGTGAGGGAAATTGCAAATTCTTCTAACTCAAAGGGAATCACCAGACATGGCCAACAAGCACACAAAACACTGAGCCTCCTAAACCGGTTTCCTGCAGGCACACATCCCTGAAAAGTGCTGTTCCCCCATCCACTGACACATTTTAAGGCAGGTGCTGAAAAACAATGGGAAACGCAGAGCACAGCCATATCTCGCAGCTCCCATCAGAGCTCTATACAGCCTTCCCCAGAACTCCTAGGACCAAGAATAGAGTTTTCTACATCACAGAATGCTGCACAAATTTTCAAGAGTTTGATTCACAATACTCTTTGAAGCAGGAATGAGCTGGGATCCTTGCTAGCCTCCACATAGAGTACGCACAAGGAGAGCTGTCTGGACGATGCTGTTCACTGCAGCTGGGGGGAACCTTGGCCTGGCCCCAGGGCAACAGAGGTACAGGGCTAAGGATGACAAACTCATGGCATGACAAGGTTTCCCCAGTGCCAGCCAGTACACTGGGCATCTCCACTGCAATCCAGCACCTCCCAAAGCCAGAGACAACACTGGGCAAGGGTATTTGTATACCAGGGTGGCCAGTCAGGTGATGGAGAGCCCTGCCTGACACAGCTGTGCAAAATGTGTCCCTCTGGGGCTAAGCCTGCAGCAGATCCCACTCATTGCCTTCCTCATGTCTGGCAGCGAGGACATCACACAGAAGCACAGCAACATACTTGAAGTTTACTCAAACTAAATCATTTAGCTTCCATTCAAGAATGACTGATGACTTCCCTTCAAGAAATTCCCTTGAAGAAAGGACTTCCCTTCAAGAAATGCACCAGTCTGGAAAATCAAGGTTGAGAACATCATTCTGCATTTTGTATAAATAAACTGACCCTTTACAAGATATGGTGGTAATGCACGTGGGTGGGTCTGCTATGTCAGAAATGTGGATTTTCATGCATTCAAGTTTCATAACTGCAATAGAAATTTTCAAATAATCGATGCATGTTCATGACTTCCTGTTTTTTTTTTTAATTTTATTTAAGAGGAAAAAGAGAAAAACACAAAACAAAACAAAGCAGTGTAAGGGTACACGTAATACAGAACTACAAAAAAAAAAACATAACAGTAAGAAATCACCTGTTAATAGATTACATATTATCATCTTGAAAATAGTTGCTCAAATCACAGTATCAAAGAATACAAAGTGGACATTCAAACAGGGAGACTGCAAACAGCTGTGTTCAATGATCCAAAAACATTAATATAGTCAGCTATTTAACACCCCTAAACACAGTTGCTGTTATATCTGTTAGAGCTCTTTTTTTCCCCCTCTCTTTTTTACAACAAAATTTACACATTTTGGATTTTATTACTCCTTAGTTCTTATTACTTTTTTGGGGGGGAGAGAATACATTCAAATATGGCAAAACAAAGCTATGACTTCCTGTTTGTATTGCACTGCAGGAAGGGGGATCCAGGCAGCAACCTGGATTTACTGAGCTGTCTCAGAAAACCTAGTGCAAAACCCACCACACAATTCCATCACCCAACACTGAAAGGTCAGCAAAGTGGTTCCTGCTTGTTGCAGCTGGTAGTTGACAATTTTGAGGTGTTTCTATCTGTGCCAGCCATCTCTGACTCTCTTAGCTTCTGTCGGCCAGGGTGTGGATCAGACTATATGTTTACAAGAAAGTTCTGTCATGATTTCTGGACCAGTGGCAGCCTTTCATGTACTGGAAATAATTTTTCAAGTTTGGCCATAAGAAACCTATACCATGTGCTTCACAAGTTGAGGGGAAATGAGATTGTTTGAAATACATACAGGAAACTCATTTTGTCTGTGGCAGACTCACTTGCTGCTGAAGTCCATATTTTTGAGGTAAAAAGCCATGAGTCAGGGGTTGTTGTACGATATGCTAAAATGCACAAAAACTTCCCCAAGTTCAGTTTCTGCTTTACTTCCCTCATTCTACCAAGCTGCAGAATGGATTCTGAGCATTGAAACACAGACGGTTACAATTGCAATAGAGATCTGTAAAAACTTCAGTTAACTAGAAAGTGAAAAGACAAAGAAAGGTTTTTGGCAAAATGCACCTCTAAATATATGCTTAAAGCAACAAAGAAACCATGAAGAAGACAAAGAAGTCAAAGACAAAGAAGTCCAAGACAAGGACAAAGACAAAGATGAAGAGATGAAGAAGAAGAAGAAGAAGAAGAAGAAGAAGAAGAAGAAGAAGAAGAAGAAGAAGAAGAAGAAGAAGAAGAGGAGGAGGAGGAGGAAGAGGAAGAGGAAGAGGAAGAGGAAGAAGGGGAAAGAAAAACAAAAATTAATGCTAATGTGCGGGTTTTGTCTCCAATGCCTCAGCCTCATTTACAAAGGAAAGGATCAAAATTTGCAGAATGGAAGGGTCACTGTGTAAAATGGACTTAGCCCCAAGACACTGATGTTGTGTCTGGCCCACTATGAATGTCCAACCCAGGGCAGGGCCTGGAGCCTGGTGGAGACTGAGGCCAGGACCCAGGAGTTGAGGTCCCTGGGGCTGAGGTGGCAGAGTCTTTGCTGTACCCTGGTGGATCTGCCTTATTGGGCCTGCAGGGCTGCAGCATGGATGCAGTGGTGGAAATGGGTGTAAGGCAGGAGGTTCTGGCTCCTCTGCATGCTGCACACTCCCTGCTTGGCCTGAGCACAGGAAGATTCAAGTCTTCCATACTGGCAAAAGAGACAGTGAAGAAGATTCTGGGTGTCATCTACCAGACACAGATGAGCACAGTGAATTCTCAGGTAGGGAGGGCAGGACACCCACCAAAGCGGGATCCACATGGCTTTATGTGTTGGGGATGTAAAAGTTAGTCATGAATGATGTGTTGCATTTCTGAATAAAAAGACTCATTTTATATATCTATAAAGAAATGCTTGAATGTTCTTCTATATGATTATCCTAGATTACAGATAAAAGAAAATTAAGTCATCCATTTCCACTCACCTATTCAAGAAAATACCAACTATTTATTCTTAAGTGAATTGAACAGGAGAGAAGTAATATTGAGTGGAGCACTATAAATAATGCAGTGGAAAACAAAATGGAAAATCCCCAAAGGCATCCCTCCCAGGATGAGACATCTGCCATTGACCAGCTCCTCTCTCCTGTCCTCACCTGTTGTGCAGGCCTGTGTCTCTTCACTTCTGGGTGGAGAGAGAGCCAGGACACAAGCTCTCTTCCATCTCAGGAAAGATCAGGGACATGGCCTAGGACATGGCCTTCTTTCAACATTTTCAGTGGCTGTTATTTATAATTAACTGAGCAGCTGTGCTGTGCAACATTCATGGTTTCTAACTGTCCACACCTTAACTGATTAAGAAGAGAATATGGTGTCTATCAATATCATTTTTTATAATGAGCCTTAGAAGTGGAATATCCAGGTTAAATGTATGTAAGATGAATTTGAGGGTCGAAGATATTTCAGCTGAATCCTCAGCATAGAGTTAGAGCCTGGTAGAGGAAAACTGAGTCTGCTCAGATCTCTGTGGAGATCTGAAATCAGAGAGATGGTCCAGGTGGAGGAGCAGGACACCATGGCACCTAGCAGGAACCATGGCTAAAAAAGGCCCAGTCTAGGCTGCCTCATCCATCGGTGAGTTCTAAGGAAAGCGTCACACACTTCACACTGGACAGGAGAGAGCTGAAATAGTTCCAGAGCTCCTCCCCACATGCCTGAGGCCCCCTGTCTCACTCAGGGGAGCTCTGTATGAGGTCAGTCTGTTGCAGAACTCAAATTGACTGAATGTTTTCCACCCAGCTGCAGATCTGAACTGCCACATGTGGACTCACCATAGCTATGGAAAAGGAAAGGTGTTTACAGGGTGCAGGCCATCAGATGGAGGCACTGCAGGCAGGTCAGGGTACAAGACCTTAAATAAGAGACCAGGCCCTCACTAGCCCCAGTTTCCTCCAGCAGTAACCAAACCCTGCAAGAGTGTGCATTAAAAACTGAGTAACTGAAAGGAGTTACTCACAAAATTATATATTATGGAGATAGTTTGAAGATACAAAAGTAAATGGTAGCATCCGTAAATAAAATGAAATGTGACCCTTAAAGAATATGTGGTGTCCATTGATGTCCCCAAACCACACGCATCAGAAGTAAACAGTGTGATGAACAGAGCAATAAGGAGCACAGGCAATGGGTAAACTTCACAGCTGCTTCATAACAACAACAAAGCTAGGATACAATACGTGCACTGGTGGATTTTATCCAGTATGTGATAAAGAATGAATACTGATTGTTTTTAAATTCTTCCATCAAGTTGGAGAAAAAAATCACCACCAAGTTCTTTTAAGTGACAAGTCATCTTGAGAATGAAGCCAGACAATAATGTGTTAAAAATAAAATAAGTGAAAACACTCTGTTGGCAAATATTCCTAACAAACATACACAAAAGTATTCAGCTAAATGTTTGCCACATTAACTCACCAGCATGTTCAAAATTAACCAACATGATCAACACTGGGCTCAGTCTCGGTGGTGCAAGAATGTTCCCTCTCGCACAAACTATTGTGTGTGTCACTTACCACATTCACAGCATAAGGCACAGCTAACCCCTGAAGAGATTTGGAAAAACAGCTTTGAGAACCTCAAAAGGTCACCATTTTTTCATGATAAAAATCATTCATAGACTATAAGTAGGAGGAATGGACCTCAGCACAGCATGGCAAGCTCCATCCTTGACATGGTACTAAGAGGCTGACAAGCTGCAAGCTTTGCTTCTAGGGTCAGGAAGAAGACAAGGCTTGCAACTCTTTTCAACATACAGTACTCGAAGTCCTGGCCATAGAAGTTAATCCAGAAAGAGAAAGCAAAGCCTTCCAAATCAGAAAGGAAGAATTAAGTGTTGTCTCAGTTTTCCTGAGGGTGCAGCATTCTATATAAGAAATTTAAACTCCATTGACAACCTTATAGAACACATTCACAAATCACTTAAATTGCAGGATACATGAGTAACATGCCCTAATCAGTTCATTACTAGTACTACAAACAAATTGTAGCCTCAAATACAAAGGACACAATTCATTTCATAAATAATCAAAAATAACTATTGATTAGAGAAATTGAAGCAAACTCACATCTTCTTGGAATGCAATAAGTAGAAGAGCACTAACAGAAGAAAAGCCACACTGTGATGAGGGATGGGAAGAATTCATGTTATAATGTACATGCTACCCAGAGCAACCAGGGGTTTCAGTGCCATTCCTGTCAAAGTATCCATGCCATTTTCTTAGGAACATAAAAAAAATGACAATTCACAAGGAATTAAAAGAGTCATCCTATAGCCACAGGAAGAACATTAAAAGAGGAGGCATAAAAGTACTAGTTTCCAGGTATTATAAAGTAACAGTAGTCAAAAGGGTTTTACACTGGAAGAAAAGGACACAGACTAAAACAGCTTGCCCAGATGCACACCAAATGACAAAATCACTAGGAATTTTATTTTATTTCTTCTTTCCTTTCCTTTTCTTTCCTTTCCTTTTCTTCCCTATTTTTTCATTTTCTTTTTATAGTCAGGGTCTCCCTATGTCATTGTAGCCTGAGCTGAACTCAGAATATGCTGCAGGCTTGTCTGGAAATCCCAGGAACCCTGCTGCCTCAGTCACTTGAGTATAGGCATTACAGGCATTTTCATCATTCCTTGCTCAGCCAATAAGTTTTTAACAACACTATGATGAGACCAGGTCAGTGGTGTGGCTTGTAATCCTAGCAGTCTGGAAGGCAGAGTCAGGAGCATCACAAATTCAAGGTGAGCCTCAGCAATTTAGCCATTTATTAAGGACATGGCTCAAAACAAGAAAAGTGTTAAAAGGTGAAGACAAAGAAGCCAATGCAAAGCTCTGTATTCAAATCCTAGAAATTGAACAACAAAAAAACAAAAACAAAACAAAACAAACAAACAAACAAACAAAAAACCTTGCAACTGACACCAGGAGGGTAAATAAATTTTTACACTGGCCTGGCCTTCTGGAGGGGAGTGTGCCCCAAGTAGCTTTAACCTTCCCACCTTTCTTGTGATTTGACTTCAAACAATCATCAAATTCCATGAGGGATCAAAGAAAAAGAGAATGTGCTTCAAAGACACCAAGCCTCAATCCTAGTGCTGAAGGCATTTGGAGTAATCTTCTGAAGTGCCTGCTGACCACAGTTAGAAAAGCAGAGAATCTACTAACAGTGTTAATGGGATTTTCAGTCCTACTCACTGTGAAAGAAGCTGCAGGCTAGGAGGGTGCAGACAGCTTAACTAGAGAGACTCCGTCTACAAAGTGTCTGAAGACCAAAGCCAAACATTTTATTGCATGAATACACAACATTGCTACCCATTGCCAACTCAGGATAATATACACCTGTAATCCCAGCACCCTGGGAGGGGGAGGAATGATGAGGAAAGGTTTAAGCCTAGCCTGGCACATTTAGAAAATTAGTGAGACCATGTCTTAAAATTTGTACCAAACCAAAGCTTTTACAAATGTATGAAAATATTGATCTTTAAGAAATCTCAGAAGTCACTGAACAAGGTACATTAATCACTATTGATCTATACTTATTTTATCTCTTTATAGACTTAAAAAGTGTATCTTTATATGATTCTTATTATTATTTCAAAATAAAATAGTAATCCTTTGCTCAAAATCTGGTATTAATATATATTTAGGACAGAAAAAAAAAACCAGAATGATCAAAATCTCTTCATACTGAACTACCCAAATCCTAAAAGGATATAGTTAGCAGCATATCTGCAGTCATCTAAGTAAAAAGCATTTAAAAATTGAAAGAGTACAAACACCAGGAAGCACATCAATGTCTCCATGATGGTAAACCTTATGCTAGGTGTGCTGACTAAAGTACACATGCAAGAGAACCTCACAAAGATTTCTCACTAGAAAGTCTATTTTTGACTTTTCATTTTTATCATTTTTTTTTGGTCTCATTCTTCTTTCCTTTTTCTTCAGACAGGGTTTTTCTATGCAGTTCAGTCTGACCTTGATCTTCCCTTGTAGCCCAGGATGACCTAAAACTCACCACAAACTTTCTGCCTCAGCCTTCGGAGTCCTGGAATGACAGGTGTGCACCAACATCCCTGATTGTGTTTTCCTCTTTAAATTTTCTCCAAAACAAAATTCCTCAAAGTTTTTGATATTCTCAAAGTTCATCAGGTTGGTTATACAAAACCAAATCAGAAAGTACTGAAAACACCCTGAAGGACCTTCAAAATCCTCACCAACAGATAACATAATATAACATAACAGAGCATAATATAGTATAGCAAAATAACACAAAACAAAATAAAACAGGAACCACATAACTCTGCTTTAAACATCTGCTTCCAAAGATACAGCAAGAAGTTCTAAGTTATTCATACACCAGCAATATGATGCATTTTCTTTGAAATAAATGTCAGTATGCACTCAAATTCTTGTGTAATAATGAGTGTGGCAGCTTCCTTTTGAAGTCTCACCCAAAAAAATAAAAAATGGCCATCACAAGATGGGTGACAGGTGCATGTGCTTGGTTCAGCCACATAATAGTGGGTGGTTGCAGCACAGAGAGAGACCGGCATGGAAACACTGCTTCAAGGAGACCAACCAAAGAGTATTACAACTGAAAAGGCTCAGCACCATCACCTCTAGGAAAGGGAAACTACCCATCAGGAACACAAAGCCCATGTTCTGATTGGGATGGGAGGAAAGGAAGTGACAGCAGCAGCTAGGAGACAATTTCTCCAGGAGTGATGCATATGTGTCCTTCATCAGTATGGGTTGATGATGTCACCTCCCCTTGTACTCACCACCTGCTGTCCCCCCTCCCTGGAGTTCAGAGTTTGGAGAACTACAGTATATAGCTGAGTTGAACATCTAAGATTGAATAAATAATCATTCCTAAGCTCGTGAGAGTAAAACTGGCTATGAATCCTCCTCCCCTGGATATATGGGGTTTATAACATGAGACCTTTACATTGTTTGGTAAAATTATTATGGGTATTCTGCTTCCTAATGGAACTGAAATGAAACTAACATAAGCCCAAGAAAGGAAGTCTTCCTAACATTTGACAAATCTTTAACAGAAGACAATGTGTCTTTCATCCTCCGAGACAACGGATCCTTTGGATGGGCATTTGTGTTTGGCACCTAGCCTGACACATCTGAAGCATTTACATGTTTGCTGCATTAAAATTTTCAAAGTGCAGCAAAGTCTAAATGTATACACTGTTTTCTAGCATTTTAACTTGTTGTTTTTAAGGAGGACATAGATTTGTTTCACAACAAAAAGAAAGGTGATATCACAGAGGAAGGCCAAACTGTGGACCCCAGTGCATGACCTCACTTCCTTGGCGATAGGTCCAAACAGAACTCTGAAGGCTCAGGTCACCAGGCACCTTGGTCTGGTGACAGTTGGTCTTTACAGACAGTTGGCTCAAGACAGTGAACAGGGAGCAGGTTATGGTGCTTTCTCAGGACACGAGACCCCAGCTTCAGGATCCCGCATAGGTAGACAATGTGGAAATGGCTGAAAAAATGGTTCACTCATCCCAGAGCCTTCAGGATGATTATGGGCAAATGCCAAATGACAAGGGCATTAAAGGACAGGGCTCACTGTCCCCAGCCTTCTGGCACCCAGAGGCAGGAGAGAGATGAGGACAGGTGTCACTAGACTCAGCCACAAGCCACTCAGACTCACTGAGTCCAGCAGAGTAACATTAAGGCCTGACCACCACTGTGAATCCCCCTACACAATTCCTGCCCTAAGTCAAGTGTGACTGGGTCTGACATGCCCTGAGGGCAGATCCTCTTGGGCAGGTGCAGGTGCTGGGAGGATGCAAGCCTGGGCCACTGTCAGGTTCCCACCCAAGACCAGGCTGGCAGAGCAGAAGGGCAGCACCCCTGTCTAATCCACAGTCTCCAGATTCCTCTTCTGTCTTCCTGGGTCGAAATATGGGACAGAGCTGTCTGTCTTACAGACATATAATATTATCTGTGTTCACAAAGAAAAACCAGTGTTGTCTCAGAGCCTTAGAGCCTCTGGCTTCCTGCCAGAAGCTGTGCTCTGCCTCAGCAGAGTGGCATATAGGACACCAGTCTAGAGGCGGTCACAAAGCTATGTGTTCCATAGCCTTGCAGCAGACTCTGGGACCGACAACAGGTGATGGCTCAGGCACAAAGTGTGTGTACAGACAGGAATATAGAGACTCTCAGATGACAGAGAGTATCTTTGGGTCAGTGCTACACTGTAGTTAACTGTCAGAATTTGCATGAAACTCTAGCCAGGGTTACTGATCCTCTGATTATCCATGGAAATTTTAAAAATGTTTTCTAAGGAAAGTAGAAAAAGAAACAGTTATGTACAGATATGTTTCACTGCAGTACACTGACAGCTCTGAACCCAGCAAACAATGTCATGAGGCTGGTGATATGCACATCACCACCTCAATAAGGCCGAAGTTTCTACAAATGCTGGAGGTAAAATATGGAAATACTTTAACAACAAAAACAGTTGAAATAAAATATCCTGAATATGCACTTAATATACCAAATATAAACTAGGCCTGGTGGCTCTTGTGTGGAGCCCAGCACTTGAGACACTAAGGAAGGAGAATTGTTTGAGACCACTCTGGGTTATAATGTGACCTCAAAGCCAGCCTGAACTTCATAGCAACATGTTTCCTCAAAAAGATAAATATATCAAATCTAATAAATGTAATAGTGTACTAGTGATGGCCTTGTGACATTAGTATGACTATCATATTTATACTGACCTGTAGTCTACTAGGAAAACCTAAGATACAGCCCACTTCACAATAAAATATCACAGTTTATCAAATGGAGTACACTAGTGAGTATTTGTTGTTCATCATTGGTATTTGGTGGTGATGGAGCAGTGCTTGCTGCTGCTCTCCACAGAAAAATGACTATTGCTGCAGTAACAGGAATGCACATGCATCACTGCAATATGTCCTTAACTCTTTGGGGAAGAGACCCACTAAAGGAGGCACTGCACTAATGAGAATTACTAATTTTAGTCTTATGAATACTTTAAAAACTGACTTCAGTAGTAGTTGAACTACTTACCTACATTACCACCAATAAGATTAAATAGTTCCTATAGTAAGATTAAATAGATCTTATGGTGATTAGTTCTCTCTTCAATGAAATGATGTCCCTATTTGCATTTCTTTATTGTGCAAAAATGCTCAATAGTTCTTCAAGTATTTCTTGGCAATTTGTACATATTCTGAAAAATGTGCCTTCCTTTCACGTTCCTATTGGTTTTACATGTTAGCTGTCAGGGAGTAATAGGCAAAATTTCTCTCATTCTGTAGTTTATTTCTTCATCCTTTTGGTTTGACTTTTTGTGGCTTCTATGTTTATGCAGGAGGATTAATATCTTACACAGTCCTTTTTGCTTGTTTTGTCACCCTATCTTATTTTCTACACAAAACAGCAGCAATAGTATTTAAAAAATGTTTTTTAATACCTCTACATTCAGAACACGCAATGTCTAGCTCTTTCATGTTTCACTATGTTTTACTCCAATAGAGGCATATTTGAGACTGCTGCACAAATTACCAAAAAAAGTACACTTCCTGAATAAAAGAAAAATCACAATTTGCAGTAGTGATTCTTTTACCCTATCATACATTTATATTCTTGACCTCAATGTACTTGTTTCCTTAAACTTCAAGTGCAGGCATAAAAACAATTGTTTCACACTCTGCTAAACCATCTAGCAATTGCCTCCCAAAGTCAGCTTTAAAGCCATTATCATCCCATCTCATTCTCTCCTGATGCTTGAACTAAAGAAATCATCTTTAGCCTAATCTTTATAGGTAACTCCTTACCAATGCAATTATTTAAATACAAAATGATCAAAAATTGCATACTTTTTGTTAGTTTTTATAAAATAACAAGGAATATAAAAGTGACAATTCTACTGTTTTCAATACAAGAATGAATGGGTTAAATTGACAACTGCCCAAATGATGCTCATGATGGTCACTGCAAAAACAAATGTGTTTCCCAAGTGATTCTCTGGGATAACTGCTACATGGCCAACCGATAAAAGGATAACTACTGATGTGCAATTGTGAGTATTAAAAAATGTTGATGCTGGCGATGAAAAGGAGGAGATCTAAAGCATTAAGCAACATCTGCAGAACTTGAAGATATATTTTGAGACAAGCCACTCTAATTGTGTAGGTTAGACTCAAATTCCTCTTCCACTAATTTAAGCCCACTGAGGTGCTAGGATTACAAGCATGCATCAATAGGACCAGCAAGACTTACTTTCATGGTAAAATGAGAAAGTGCATGTATTCAGGATATATGTCTTATAGATTCAGTATTCTATTATTAGCTGTAATACAAACTCCAAATATTCCCATTAATGCTAAGAAGAAATATGCTGCAGGGAATCTGGCCACATGGTGTAGTGCATAGAGGCTGACAATGTACTTCACAGTGTCTTTTACTTTGTGAAGTGTATCAGGTTCTATAAGTACAAAATAGATATAGTTTTAGTGGTGGTTACATAAGAGGTGAGGAATTTATTTTCCCAAGGATAATTGAGACTTGGGCAAGCTATCTTCACTGGGTTAGGGGTATTTAATGCAATGTTCACTTGTGTCTTCATGACACCACTGTTTTTAACAACATAATTCCTAAGCAGATTTTGTATTCAACAACACTGCATTAAACATGTTACAAATTACATGAATGTTAAAATGGAAGTGAAAACCACAGGCAACAGGAAACCAACTGGAACTCGTGGCCCACTGTATGTGTTTAAAGATAATTAGTACACAACACAAACATCATGCACTGGTCCTTATAAATAAAGTGATATGCCATTGTATAAATTCACAATTCAGTAAAACAGAACACAATCTGAAACTTAATTTAGCAAATTTACTTTTTACTGTGTTGACAGCTCATAATTTAGGTTTCCCTTCATGCCATTACTTCAGTATTTTAGGAAAAAAAAGTAATAATTACAAAATATATAATGCATTCACAGCATCAAGGAATAAAATAAAGGCATTTGCATGATACATCCAAAAACAACATTTTCCCCAAAAACAACTCCATATGAAAGAAAAACTGATTTCAAAGTATGGTTACTCATAAATCATGCCAAATTTTATAATTTCTGGAGATTCTGATATATATATTGTGATGTGCTATTGGAGACAAGTTATGATTCTGTCAGTATGGCACAATCAGAAATTCACAGTAGTATGGTTTACATTTGGTACATGTGGGGAAACTTTAGTAGCAAATAAAGATGTAATATAAACATAACAAGTAAAATTCTGATGGTTAGAAAAACAAAGGTTTACTTAAATGACAAATATTGGCTCCACTGAGAAACAAAATCAGGCAACATAATTTATATGGTATAATATCCAGTGATGTTAGGAAATCAGCAGATGTCTTGTCACAACTTGGAAAACATAACATTCATTAATGTACAAGTTATGTGAAAAGAACACAAGTTTTTCAAAAACACATACTCCAAGCCTCTACAAATGTATACCTTAATGCCAAATATTGCCTCAACTTCAGAAACATCATTTATGAAAGAGAAAATGAAGCATGTGCATCAAAAGATTAAAACAACGCCACGTTAAAATTACAATTCCCAAAAAAACTAGAGACTCGACTAATATCACTCTGAACAATGAATAATAGTATTGCTCAATTTTATATCATAATGCTACAGAATTAGCATTGGGTTTCTTAGTGTCACTTCTTCAGAGTATCTGTGCATTACATTATGCATTATATTATTTGTTTAAATAAATAGGTTAGAAATTCTTCCAATGTGTGAATCTCTATGTGTATATCTATCCTTTCTGTGTTATGGGGGAAAACAGATCAAAATAAGACAACAAAACAAATTTCTAGAAAATCCTGATATGAAAGAGACATATAAGAACACAATATTAGGTGATATACACTACTTGCTATGCTTTCTCTTGTTATTTTCAATTGAATTGTCTACATCATCAGGGACTATACAAGTAAGCATAACATTATATAGCTATTTTTATAAAAATGCAACTTTGAAGATGTTGTAGGATGTGAAAGCAGTTAATAATCAAACCTGATGTAGAACCCGTGGTTTCCTGCCAAGACCAGCAAGTCAAGCCAATAATGATCAGAAGGGATGAAGAAGGTCACTACATAGTTCTTAGGGGAAAACTCCAAGAGGAAGAGAAAACTATCTTAAATTTACATGCACCAAACTCCAGATCACCCAATTATATAAAACAAGTACTAACAAAAATGAAAAATCAAATTAGTAGTAGCACAATTTTAACAGGAGATCTTAACACACCACTGACACCAATGGACAGATCAACCAGACAGAAAATGAGCAAAGAAATAAAAGAACTGAATCGCACCTGTGAATAAAAGGATTTAATAGACATATACAGAGTATTCTACCCAACAACAACAGAATACACATTCTTCTCAGTATTACATGGGTCAGTCTCTAAAATAGCCCATATGTTAATTCACAGAGCATATTTAAATAAATGCTAAAGCGTTGAAAGTATCCCTTGCATGCTACGAGACCATACCACTATGAAATTAGAAATTAATGATAAAAGATACTGCAAAAATCCCACAAACACATGGAAACAGAATAACACTCTTGAGTAATCAGTGAGTCACAGAGGAAATTAAAGAATAAATTAAACAATACCTACAAACAAATGGAAACACAGATACAACATACCAGAATCTGTGTGATGCAATGAAAGCTGTCCTCTGAGGAAAATTTATTGCACGAGTTCCCACATTAGGAAAACAGAATGAATACAAATAAATAACCTGATGTTATACCCCAAACATCTAGAAAAAGAAGAGCAAGTCAAGCCCAAAGCCAAAAGAAAAGAAATTATAAAAATCAGAGCAGAAATCAATGCAATAGAGACTAAAGAAACAATCCAAAAAACCAATGAATCAAAGACCTGGTTCTTTGAAAGAATAAATAAAATTGAAAAGCCCCTAGCCAACCTTATTTAAAAAATGTAAGAAAAAGTTCAAATTCAAGCAATAAGGAATAAAAGAGGTGAAATTACTACAGACCCTATTGAAATACAGAAGACCATCAAACCTATTTCGAAAACTTCTACTCTCAAAGTTTTATAACACAGAGGAAATAGACAGATTCCTAAAGCATATGAAGTACCACAGCTAGGTCATGAAGATGTAAAACTACTGAATAACCCAAATTCTATTAATGAAATTGAAAACATAATAAAATAATTACCTACAAAGAAGAGCCCAGGCCCAGACGGATTCGCTGAAGAATTCTACAAGAAATATAAAGAAGACCTAATGCCAACACTCTGCAAACTCTTCAATGAAATGGAAAGGGAAGCAATCCTTCATAAATCATTCCTAGAAGCAAATATTACTCTAGTACAAAAACCAGAGGAGGACCCAACTGAGAAAGAGAACTACAGACCAATCTGCCTAATGAAGGAGGATGCAAAAATCCTCAATAAAATTTTGGCAGATAGGATGCAGCAAATCAACAAGATCATATATCATGATGAAGGGGGAGTCATCCCAGGCATGCAGAGATTGTTTAATATATGTAAATCAATAAATGTAATACACCATATCAATAGAGCCAAAAGTTATAATCACATGGTCATTACTATAGATGCAGAAAAGGCTTTTGATAAGGTCCAACATTCATTTATGATAAGAGCCTTGCAGAAAATTGGAATAGATGGTCCTTACCTCAATATAATTAAGGCCGGCAATGACAAAACAACAGCCAGTACCATACTAAATGGTCAAAAATTGAGGGCCTTTACTTTAAAATCAGGCACAAGACAAGGATGTCCCTTATCACAGCTCCTATTTAATATACTACTGGAAATACTGGGCAGAGCAATTAGACAAGAGAGAAATAAAAGGCTTAAATATAGGAAAAGAAGAAGTTAAATTATCATTATTTGCAGATGACATGATTCTTTATATAGAAGATCCCCAAAGCTCTATTGAAAGACTCCTAGATATAATAAATTCAGTAATGTAGCTGGATAGAATCAATACTCAAAAATCAATAGCATTCCTATACACTAACAACAAAGTCACAGAGACAGAAATAAGAGAGGCCACACCCTTCACACTAGCAACCAAAAACATGAAATATTTAGGAATTACTCTCACGAAAGAAGTGAAAGACCTATACAGGGAAAATTATAACACACTGAAAAATGAAATTGAAGATGATCTCAGAAAATGGAAAGACATCCCTTGCTCATGGATAGGAAGAATAAATATTGTGAAAATGGCCATTCTCCCAAAACTTTTATACAGATGCAATGCAATCCTGATAAAAATACCATCAACATACCTCATAGAACTTGAGAAATCATCCCTAAAATTCATCTGGGATGAGAAGAAACCCAGAATAGCAAGGACAGTGAGAAGCAGCAAAAGCAAGACAGGAGGTACCACAATCCCTGACTTGAAGTTATACTACAAAGCAACTGTAGTACAATCAACATGGTACTGGAATTGAAACAGAGCCAAAGATCAGTGGAATCGATGAGAAGATACAACCACCACTACAAACACACTCAAATACCTTATCTTTGATAAATGGGCCAAACATGTTCACTGGAAGAATGACATTCTGTTTAATAAATGGTGGTGAAAAACTGGCTCTCCATATGCCTAAAACTAAAACTAGACCCATGCCTATCACCATGTACTAAAATAAAATCTAAAAGGATCAAAGATCTAAATATTAAAACAGAAACACTAAATCTATGGGAAGACAAATTGGGTAAAAACCTTGAAGACATAGGGGTAGGTAGAGAATTGATGAACAGGACTCAAACCGCATGGGAAATGCTTCCCAGAATCAATAACTGGGATCACCTCTTATAAAAAAGTTTCTGCACATCAAAAGAAATCTCCAGTATAGTGAAAAGAAAACCCACAAACTAGGAAAAAGTCTTAGTGAACTGCCCCTCAGACAGAGGACTTCTGTCTATAACATATAAAGTATTTTAAAAAATGAGACCACCAAAATTCAAAGACCCAATCCAAAAATGAGCATCTGAGATGAATAAACAATTTTGAGATGAAGAAATATAAATGACAAATAAATACATGAAAAAATGTTCACCATAAATGGTCATTAGAGAAATGTAAATTAGAACCACACTGAGATTTTATCTCACTTCTGAAAGAATGGCCAAGATCAAGAAAACTGCCAACAACACATATTAGAGATGCTGTTGGGAAAAAGGAACTCTTCTGCACTGTTTGTGGGAGTGTAGACTGGTGCAACCATTGTGGAGGGCAGTCTGGAGATTTCTCAGAAAGCTGGGCCTGGAAGCACCTTTTGACCCAGCTATTCTACTTCTAGGCATATTCACAGAAGAACTGAAAGCATCATTCCACAGTGATATATGTGCACCCATTTTTATAGCAGCACAGTTTGTAATAGCCAGATCTTGGAAACAACCTAAGTGTCCATCAACTGAGTAATGGATAAAAAAGTTATGGTGTTTTTATACAATGGAGTACTACTCAGCTATAAAGAATGATCACATTGACATATAAATAAATAGATGCAGATTGAGACCATACTCATATGTGAAATAAATCAAACTCACATGTATAAATACTGAATATAATCCCTAGTATAAGAAATGATAATACATAGAAGTATGTGGTAATCATGATACCCAATCATATTGGTTTGAATCCATATAATGTTTTCACTCATTATTAAGTGCAATGCAATTCTGATAAAAATACCATCAACATACCTCATAGAACTTGAGAAATCATCCCTAAAATTCATCTGGGATGAGAAGAAACCTAGAATAGCAAGGACAGTTAGATGCAGCAAAAGCAAGGCAGGAGGTACCACAATCCCTGACTTGAAGTTACACTACAAAGCAACTGTAGTACAATCAACATGGTATGAAGTGCAATGGTTTTACCCTGGGTTTTTCAATTTTAGTATTGGTGATAGTACAAATAGCTATTCTGAAGAAAATAACACATCATAAAAGCTGGTGCTGATTTAATATCATCTTCTTTGGAACTCCCATCAAGCTGTTGTACATGTTACCACTGGTTTTAACATGTTGTAACTTAATATATTTTACTGTATGTGATAGTATAAATAAAATTTTTCACAGGCAAAGAGATAATATAGAAATCGTTGTCCATTTTCTGTTAACTGGCTCTAAATACTCTGTAATTCTTTCATTCTCTTGAATGGCTTCACACTGTCTTGATATGATTGATTCTATAGTATACGACATTATATTCAAACAATTCAAGGAAAGAGGCACTATGGTGAAAATATTATGTTAGATTATCTGGTGGTGAAACAAAATGCTTTAATTGTGCAGTTGTGACCTGTGTTGTTCTATGACAATGTCTCTTTTATCTCGATCTCCACCCTTTTAAAAAAATTATTCTATGTTTTCTTATTTTTTTCAAGTAAAATAAAACCAAATTAAAAAATAGCGGGATATATTATAGTAACTTTTTTTGTTTTCCTATTAACCTGATTTTAACCCCAGTATTGCTCTCCCCATCTTGTTCTGCCTGATTTTACTTTATTCTATTTTGTTTGATAGTATCGAGTTTGAGGGTATAGGCAACCACTTTGTAGGCAATAAGATTTACTATGATGCCCATTAGGGTTTGAATATTATCTTCTTTTCAAATCCTGTAAGGTCTCCAGTGTAGTTTTTATTGGTCTTGTTCTGTACTGTTTTGATCAATTCTATTATACCGGATGATATAGCAACTTTTTTTAAAAATAGCAAGAGGCACAATGGTAACCATTTTTGATCACCTGATATTCTATTTTTGCATCAAGTACTATGCCCATCCTTATGTTCTAACCAACTCTGTTTTTTTTAACTCACTTGAGGTTTTATTCTCTTCAAAAAACAGTAATAAGAACTATGGGAGTAAAACAAAAACTCAAAAGCGTAAATGTAATTTTGAAGAAGAGAGGAAAGGAAGGTAGTCTAAGAGATATAATTGCCTGTTTGAGTGTGTAGGAAGGAAAACCATATTACTGAGCTTTGTTGGTTCATTGAATGCAACTGTCTGGACTCTCGCTGTAGGAATGTTCACTTTATATGCTTTAATTTTATAATTTGGACAACTGTTTCTAAGAAGACAATATGTAACCTATTAACTAGTGATTTCTTACTGTATTTTTTCTTGAAATTCTGTATGATTTGTACCCTTTTACTGCTTTGTTTTTTATGTTCTTTTTTTCTGTTTAAATAAAAAAAATAAACCTGGAATTTATATCTTGTATTTATTTTTTGGTACTGGGGATCAAAGTGATGACCTCACACTTGCCAGGCAGGTGCTTAAGCCACTGAGCTAAATCCCCAGCCCCCCAATATATATGTTTCACATCTTATTATCTTCAGAGTAGTGGCCTCTACTCTTGGACTTGATACCAGCAAGCATACCAAATGTGAATAAAATCAGTCAAGGCCAAATAACATTCAAACAAACCTGATTCCAATAAGATCAGTTATAGTACGACAATGTAAGTAATACAGGGTTTCAGTTTTAGTTAATTGGAAATTAAGGACAGTTACCATCATGGTATAACCTGCTATTTTTGGGTTACCTCTCTGTGCCCTCAAATCTAATATGAGTAGACAGACCAGAACAAAATATAATCAAACTAAACAGCGCAACAGAACTACTGTAGCTTTTAAATCCTGATACACTTTTAACAATGTCCTCTGCCTTCTTTTTTTAGGCAATTCCTCACCTTTCTCCTTCTCAGGATACTATTATTCACTGTTCAGAGTGATATTAGTTTAGTCTCTTATGTTCAGTTTCAGCATACATAAAAATAAAGAGATCTACTATGAAGAGAATGAGACACATTATGGTAATCATTATCAACTTCCCCAACATCAGTCTTGAAGATCAAAAAAGCCATTATCATCCTGTAATTATTTGATTAGTTCTATAATGTTCAGTATATATTCAATGCTTCTGAAGATGGGAACAACTATTTGGAAGAAAACTAGAGACATTAAGATAGACATTAAGATAGACATTAAGAAAATGAACATCTCAGTGGACTTGCTTTGAAACCTGTTTCCTTAACTTGTTTCCTTATGAACTGTTCTGTTTTGTCATGTTTAACTTTACCATCTTTAAGATAAAAAACAATTTGTAGAACAGATAAGCATATTAATAAGTTTTTTTTGATCACTGAGGTAAATTGTTCACAGTGTCATTATTTGAATATCACTTTGTATGCTTTAATTTTGTAACTTGAACAATTACCTCTAAGATGACAATATGTAATTAATCAACTAGTGATTTCTTATTGTTTATTTTTCAGAAATTTTGTATTATTTCTACAGTTTTTGGTTTTTTTCTTTAAATAAAAATTCACCAAAAATATGAAAATTAAGTTTTAAAAACAAAATGTTAAGTACATAGACACTATCCATACTTGAAAGTGAAAAGCCCATTTCAGTTTACCATGTTTAATTACAAGATGCCATGTTGAAACACAAAGACACATTAAAAAATCTAAAGAGGTATAAGTGATTAACTGAAACCCATATAAAATGTGTACTTGAGTAGAGCTCCACTTCAGATTTGTCATTTCCGGAAAATTCGTGAAGAAATATTGACATCAAACTTCTGTATCAATTATTTCTTCAGGTCTACTTGGAATTTTTAAAATAAACTTAGATCTAAACTATCCAAAGAGTGCTGCCTTTTCTATGTATTTAACAACAAACATGGATTGCGATATGTTCCACACTGTTAATGCACATAGGATCCAGTGAGCTCTTTCAGATATGTAACAATGATCATATGTGCTGAGAGTATTCCCATAACACATAGGATTTATCTCTTGTGTGAGTTTTTTCAGGTATTTCACTTACAATTTGGATGCTGAAAGTGTCTCCACTTGCTTACATAGTGAGTGATTAATCCCAGTGTGAATTGTTTCATCTGTTTTGCAATGACTGTATGTGGTAAAAGTTTTGCCACATTGTTATATGCATAGGGTTTCTCGACCAGTGTGGAGTCATTGATGTATTTTACAAATTCCATGTGTGGTTAAAGCTTTCTCACATTCTTCACATAAACAGGGTTTCTCAACAGTGTAAATCTTTTCATGTATTGGACAATGAGCATTTCTGCTGAAACCTTTCCCACATTCCTTAGATATATAAGTTTTCTGCCCAGTGTGACATTTTTCATGCATTATGCAATATGTAATTGTGGTCAAAAAATTCTTAGGATGCTTATATACACTGGTTTTATCTTGAATATGAACTTTTATGTTGCTTACAATGTCCATGTTGGGCTAAAACTTTCCCAAATTGCTTACATATATAGGGTTTCTCACCAGTGTGAATTCTTTCATGTTCCTTACACTGTCCATGTGTGATAAAAGCTTTCCCACATTGCTTACATACATAGGGTTTCTCTCTAGTGTGAATTCTTTCATGTTTCTTACAATTTCCCCATGTGTTAAAAGCTTTCCCACATTGCTTACATACATAGGGTTTCACTCCAGTGTGAATTCTTTCATGAACCTTACAATATGCACGTGTGCTAAAAGTTTTCCCACATTGCTTACATACATAGGGTTTCTCTCCAGTGTGAATTATTTCATGTTTCTTACAATCTCTCCATGTGTTAAAAGCTTTCCCACATTGCTTACATACATAGGGTTTCTCTCCAGTGTGAATTCTTTCATGTTTCTTACAATCTCCCCGTGTGTTAAAAGCTTTCCCACATTGCTTACATATATATGGTTTCACTCCAGTGTGAATTATTTCATGTGCCTTACAATGTCCATGTGTGATAAAAGCTTTCCCACATTGCTTACATACATAGGGTTTCTCTCCAGTGTGAATTCTTTCATGTTGCTTACAATAGTTATGTTGCGTAAAAGCTTTCCCACATTGCTTACATACATATGGTTTCACTCCAGTGTGAATTACTTCATGTGCCTTACAATGTCCATATGTGATAAAAGCTTTCCCACATTGCTTACATACATAGGGTTTCTCTCCAGTGTGAATTCTTTCATGTATTTTACAACTTGCCTGTGTGTTAAAAGCTTTGCCACATTGCTTACATACATATGGTTTCTCGCCAGTGTGAATTCTTTCATGTTGCTTACAAGCTCCATGTTGGGCAAAAGCTTTCCCACATTGCTTACATACATAGGGTTTCTCTCCAGTGTGAATTCTTTCATGTTTCTTACAATCTCCCTGTGTGTTAAAAGCTTTGCCACATTGCTTACATACATAGGGTTTCTCTCCAGTGTGAATTATTTCATGTGCCTTACAATGTCCATGTGTGATAAAAGCTTTCCCACATAGCTTACATACATAGGGTTTCTCTCCAGTGTGAATTCTTTCATGTTTCTTACAATCTCCCTGTGTGTTAAAAGCTTTCCCACATTGCTTACATATATATGGTTTCACTCCAGTGTGAATTCTTTCATGTTGCTTACAATGGTCATGTCGGGTAAAAGCTTTCCCACATTGCTTACATATATATGGTTTCACTCCAGTGTGAATTCTTTCATGTTGCTTACAATGGTCATGTCGGGTAAAAGCTTTCCCACATTGCTTACATACATATGGTTTCTCTCCAGTGTGAATTATTTCATGTGCCTTAAAATGTCCATGTGTGATAAAAGCTTTCCCACATTGCTTACATATATATGGTTTCTCACCAGTGTGAATTCTTTCATGTTTCTTAAAATATCCCCATGTGTTAAAAGCCTTCCCACATTTCTTACATACATAGGGTTTCTCTCCAGTGTGAATTATGTCATGTTGCTTACAATGTCCAGATTTGCTGAACCCTTTTCCACATTGCTGACATACATAGGATTTCTCTCCACTGCAATATTTTTCATGGATCTGAATATTGTGGTGTGTTTCTGCTTCTTTCACATTCACATTACCTTCTGCAGTACAAGGGAATACTTCTTTACACTGATTCCAAGATGTACGTCCATAGGATTTCCCTAGCTTGTCATTTCTGTAAAAAAAAAGCACATATCAGATTGATAACCATATTACTAAGTTTTTATTGGAGATTTGAACAAAACTGTTTGCAGTCTCGCTCTCTGAATCCCCACTTCATATGTTTCACTTTTGTATTTCATTAACTATTTCTCTGAGTAGCATATGTAATCATTGTCTTTAGATTTCTTACTGTTTATTTTCACTTTGAAAGTGGTATCATTTCTACTTATTTTGTTTTTTTTTTAGTCTTTTCTTACATTAAATTTAAAAAAAAGAAACACTCACAGTGAAATGAGTCTCAGTTTTATGACTGCATTAATGTCAAGTTCTGTTTTTAATGCCTTCTAAGAAATTCTGACCATGAAGTAACAGAAGGGCCTTATAAGACATGTTGAAAACAACCATTCCCAAAAGACTGGTACACATTTGGAAATCTTAAAATTTGGTACCTTTTGAAATGCAGAATCTTTAGCTTCACTTTCGGCATGGGTACATATGTGTATGACATACAGATGATTCTGATATGTTTCCCCATCACAATCTCCCTTCTGTCCTTAACCTGCAGTTGCCTTTTCCATATGGTCAGTCTTACTTTTCTCTATTAACTCTTTCATTTCATTCCACAATTTATATTTTGGTTTCTCATCTAAAAGGTACCCTGTGAACTTTTAGGTTTTATAGCTGAGCTATTTCACCAAATTGATGGGAGAAAGAACCACCTATTTCTTATGGCAAATGACATTATATTATTTATTTTTTGACATTATATAAGACATTTTTTCTTTTCCATGCTGGGAATGAACAACAGCTATTAGCATAAAATCTATAGCTTTTTAAATGTGTTTTAAGAGATTTTCACTGATCATTAAGCCGTGAAGTTTGAACTTGAATTTGCCATTCTGCAAAATCTGATTCCTAGTGTGCTGGATTTACAAGAATGCACAATCACAGAGAGTTGATTAACATTTTCCTTCTCCACAAATCCAGTGATAGATAGCTAAGCTTCTTCAAGGCCTGATCTATTATAACTTGATCTGCTTTGTAAATGAGTAAGCATGTACCAGTATTTTATGTGCATCTTGAATTTTTAAAAATATATCCAGGACAAGTATGAGGGGATCAATTTATAGAGACAACTGCACACTGATATTCAGAATGAGTGCACTTAACATTCTACCAGCCTTCTAAGAATTTTAGTCAGAATGGCTGATTCTTTAGAGCATGGCTTGGAAACACAAGAACTCCATTTTATTTCAAACTCTATTGCAATCTTAGTAATGTTTAGATGAGGAATGTGTTGTATTCACATGTATATATGGGTAGAAAAACTGAAGGGAGAATGTCATAACTCCTTATACATCTTCGGAGAATATTACTGACAATAAATTGAATGGTGCCTCATTTCTTTGGCGGTATTTTTCTGCTGACTCACTAATTACTCAGGAACATTCCTTCTCCTTATGAGTGTGAATTACCTTAAGTATCTCCAGTAAATTTTGCATTCTTTTTCAGCTTCCTGGATCTCCCCAAGTCCTCCTGAATTGTAGATATAGAAATACCAGGGCTCATTAGAATAATACATACAAATTAATAGATTTTGTTTAGAGTTATGATATAATGTGTCCAGGTCTGAGTTATTTTTAAAAATATGTTCACATTGTGTTTAATGAAACAGCACTGATGAGTGACATACAACATTCTGACAGCATGAGTGACAAAAGTAATTTGTCCTTACCTGTTGCAGCCATGTTCCTAAAGGTTTCACCCATCACATCTCTGTAGAGGTTCTTTTGGGATGGACTCAGCAAAGTCCACTCCTCATGGCTGAAGTTCACAACCACATCCTCAAAGGTCACCACCTCCTAAAGGACGACACATATATTTCTCACACAAAGGTTGAGACACCAGGTTTGGGATATCTTAAATTCTCTCCTACAAATCTGAATCAAAAGCAAAGTGTGGTGGTATATATCTATAATGCCAGCACTCAAAAGGCTGAGGCAGGATGGTTTCAGTGAGTTCAGGGCAATTCTAGGCTCCATAGGATATTCAAATCCAGCCGATATACATATAGAAAGCTTGTCTCAATAAAACAAAACAAAACTAAACAAATACAACCAAACAAAACAGCTGAATGAAGACTGATGTCTTCAAATTTAAATCCATGCCTTCGTCATTAATTTTGTATATATACACACGTTTTTGAAGACAGCAAATTTGATGATAGATTGCAACTCACTGCTATTATAACAGTGAAATAGGAGCACTGATTCTTATGCTGAGTCACTGCAATAGTCCCTGTGTACTGTCTCTAATGCAGAGCTCACAGTGAGAAGCCTGCAGGACCAGCATCCACAAAGCACAGAGACAGATAAATATCCCATCAATCAACTGAGAAACCAAGCAAGCACCTCCCTTCCCTGGTAAGTGGTGGCGGTGTGGCAGACTGTGGCCCATGCAGGGGGCAAACCAGCAGCAGCTCCTGAGATCCATGCCATGCTGGATTTAGGACACTTGGAAGGCAAGCAACCACCACTTCTCCCCCGTAAGCAGTGGCGGTCTGGCAGAATGTGGCCCTTCCAGGGGGAGAACCAGGAGCAGCTCCTGAGATCCACGCCAGCTGTGAAACCAAACAACCAGCCTGTCTCCCTATAAGCAATAGTGAACCTACTGATGCACGGCCTAGAATCAAACATCCCACTTCCCTACCCCTCTTCTCCTGTCACCCCCAGTTAGCAAATGGGGAACAGAAATCTGAGTGTGTCCTGGGAAGCACACCATAACGAATAAGGCGAACTTCCTTCTACTATCTCTTCGAAGGCAAATATTTTTATTACTGTTTTACTCTATTCTGATTAATGGTATTGCTCTATTCAAAATTCTGTTTTGATAAGTACTATAATGTTCTGTATTTCATCTCATTTTGATATATGTGTTTGAAAGAACAACTATTATAAAGATAATAAAATATACTGTGATACCTATTACTGTCATTGCAGTAACCTGTTATGAAGTTGTATACCAATTTCACTGTATGATCTTAGTTGGCCTTATTCTGCCTTGTTCTGTTTATGTTACCACTTTCAAAATTTGAAAAAAGGAAAAAAAAATCTCATCAATCACCTTGATAGGCTGCAGAGAATGTCTCTTCAAATCTCATTTAGGCTAGTGAGTACTTTGTTCTTAATATACTTCAGCAGCATTTTGAAACATGAATTTGGTTTCATAGAACAAAACATAAATAACCTCCAATATGGAACACAAATAATAACTCAAATGTTAGTGGAAAATGCTGTTTTTTAAAAAAATAAGTATATAAAATGGAACCAGGCCAAAGCTGTAATATATAGCTCACTGTCACCAAGCGATCACTTTCAATTTAGATATAAGGAATATATCTTGTGAGGCTGGTGAAGGACTTCTTCCTTGAATTTGGGACTATCCTAAGTTACAGAGCTGTCTAAAGTAGAGAAACCCTGACTGAGACACCCCACAGACAAAGTGAAACTTGAAAAGAGACTGCACAAGACAACTTTAGTTTGTTTTTAAAAATTATATCCATACAATATGGAAAAATTCCAACAATATTCAACACTTTATGAGAAACAATGTGGATATCTTCCATACCACAAAGAGAAAGTTGGGTATTTAGCTCAGTGGCATGAACACCTGCCTGGAAAGCATAGGGCATGAGTTTGATCCTTGGTACAAAAAGAATCCAAATTTTACCTGCATGACACTGGGGCATAATTAGAGATAATCCAAGTTAGATTTTAAGTATGGAACACAAAATTCATGGGTTGACAGGGATGTGAAATAGTGATTTTTGCCAGAGCTGGTGTTGATCACCTCAATGAAGCAATCAGAACCCAACTTTAACTTCACGCTTACTCTAAGAACTACCTGAATTTCAGTGAAGACCCTCTCAGTTGTATGTCCTGCTATAAGCTTCCTGAATCCTGTCAGTCACTTGCACATCCTTTCCACACTCCTCTGTTCCATCCTCAGCAGGAAACCCTTCATGCCTAACTATTGATATCACTGCAAAATTTCTGTTTAGAGCTTCTCCTTTACACCACTTACTAAATTTCATTGCAGAGAATTTCCATATTTAAACTGTCTAAGAATAAGCAAGCCACTAAATCAGCTCTTAATTCAGAGATGACACACCTATTCCTTTCCATTCAGAAGGATATCATGTGTATATGTCCTTGCAAATGCCTAAATTTCAGCATTTTTCGATGAGAATTTAACAGATAGCCCTTTCTGGAATTTGTCCTTCACAAAATTTTACCCTGTCCTTGATAACACTTTCATATTTGCTTTATCGTTCTCAGACTTCAAAACTCTATGGCTGTTCTCACAAACTTAGTCTGTGAGCAAGGGTGCCACCTAAATAATTAAATATGTTCAGAAATTATTTTGCACTGATCTGTATAATACACAGGAGTTCATGTGTTGTTTGGGAAGCCTTTTTCCACTGAGGCACACTACTACATGTCTCTGAATTCTCAGGACCTTTGCCACTACCTGTCATGAGGATGGAAATATGAGAACATACTATAAATTGAGGAGATCACTATAAATACAAAAAAGCCCAAGTTTAAGTTGAGCCATTGTGGCTATGAAGCCCTGCATTACAGACACTAATAAACTCCAGACATTCTAGATCTGCTACTCTGAGGAAAGAGAGATTAGACCTAGCTCATTACTCTTCTACAAGCCACAAATCATCATAGTCAGAGTCATCCCAAGCTTCTTCCAAAGCCTAAGATGGTGGATTTTAGAGGCCAGCAGTGAATTTCAAAAATGATACTTTAGTCTGCTGCTGTAATAGGGAAGCCATGGTTCTGGGGACCCCAAATCACACTTGCCAACAGCAAAAGGCAAAAGGGACAGTGAATGACCCATGGCCAATGCTGGAGGACCTCAGGAGCTGAAGCTAACTAAATACCTGAAGCTCCAGACACAGGAATTACTTCTAAATACTTGTAACTGGTTTCACCCAATCCACCCTATCTCTGGGCTCCCATCCACAACCTCACCATTCCATGGCTCCAGGATCTCTCAGGTTCTTTGCTAATCAGGCCACAGGACATCGAAAGTACTAAATGAGATGCAGCAAGCGTTTTGCTACCAGTATTGTACTCAGAAAAGATAAATCATGCTGAGACACCAGAAGAGACAAAAGTCACAGCCAGCAATGGCCTGAAAATTGGACAGTTCATATAGGCTGCCCCTTCATCACTGATTGACTCCTGCTCTACAGCTCTCCTTCTGAGTCAAGAATCAACAGGGAAAGAAACCCCTCCCTGCAAGAGAGGATCTCAAACGATAGACTGCAGTGCAGAGACTTCTGGAGCTGCCGTTCTTCTACAGTGGTGATCTCAGCTTGACCAGAGGAGTGTTTGTACTGAAGAGCTTTACCTCAGGCTTTTAATTTTCAAATCCATTTTATTTCACTGAAAAAAGAACACTTGTAGATACCATAACCAAAATTACAAATCATTTCAGTTTCAGAAAACAAAAGTAGCACTTAAAGTCAGGGATTAAATTAAATTAAATTAAATTTCAACTAAAATTAAATTTCAAATTAAAATTAAATTTCAAAACATGTCAATCAGGGGGCAACACTGGTATATACACTGAACACTGTAATCCCCAGATCATTCACCCACAGCACAAGACATCTGTAATCAATTATCCAAATAGTACTGTTACAGGCACCTGAGTTATTTAAATAGTATTGGCATAAGGCAGGACTAGGTCCTCCAAGGAGTCCATGCAGGAGACGAGATACTGTGCAACTATGGGGAAGACTGACACCTCATGCTATGGGCCAAGTCTCAAGACAAATGATAAGCAAATTCATCCATACATAAAAGACTGATATTCTAAATAGTCCCATAGCACTCTGAGGAGGTCAGGAATCGCCATTCAAAGAAAAGTATGCTTATCCTAAAAACTGACATTTTAAATATTTCCTATCATCCTGATGAACTCAGGAGTCACCCTACCAAAACCCTAAGGGAAAAGACACTGCTGCCTAAGAATGCCTGCTTTCTATGTGACTCCCTTTCCCCTTTTTTCCCAAGTTAATCAACTTTACATGAACTTATAATCTTATTGGCTACCATAGCTCTGTCCCATCTTATGCCCATCTGGATTGTGAGTTCCGATTTTTCCCCACCTTAAACTCATCTCACCACATGATTTTACCCTATAAATGTCCCTAGAAGGACAGTGTTTGACATCCCACTCAGGACCTCTTCTCTCTCTCAGGTAGCTTTCTTTCTCTCAATAAGTATATTGTGTTCTTAATTTCTGTTGTTCCTAAAATTCATTCTTTGACTTTAGAGAACACAAACTCATACCAGACATATTAGACCAGGAGATTCTTACTCTATAGGAGTATCATTATAAATTTTTCTCTTTCCTGAAGTCAGATAAATCAGTAGTAGTTTGTATTCTACAATGTTGATCTCACATTTCCATGGATGCTTGCCCTGAAGGGCTTTATCCCTGACTTTAAGTGCTACTTTTGTTTTCTGAAACTGAAATGATTTGTAATTTTGGTTATGGTATCTACAATGCATTAAGGAAATGACTAACAGTATTTCTTATGAATGGTTTACTACCAGCAATAGAGGAAGACAGGAGGCAAAAATTCATTGTTTTGATTTCTTCCTTGAAACTGAAGGATGTACTTGAAAGAGTTTTGCCCTAGAAACAATTACAGTAGTTCAAGGTGGAAGAAGGCAAAATCAGGGATGCTTACTCATATGGCCACTTCCTCTTTTTCCTTGATTACAACTTCCTCTTTCTTTCCCAGGGCCCTAAAGAAAATTCCCATCAGCTCCTT